TGGGGTTGTTGTGACCCAAGGGCAGGACCTGCCACTTGAGCTTGTTGAACGTCATACAGTTGGTTGCTGCTCATTGATCCAACCTGTCCAGGTCCCTCTGTAGAGCCTTCCTACCCTCAAGCAGATCAACACTTTCACCCAGCTTAGTGTCATCTGCGAACTTACTGGGGGTGCACTTGATACCTTCAGCCAGATCATTGATAAAGATGTTAAAGAGGACTGGCCCCAACATTGAGCCCTGGGGAACACCACTTGTGACCTACCTCCAGGTGGATTTAACTCCATTCCCCACCATTTTTTGGGCCCAGCCATCCAGCCAGTTTTTAACCCAGCAGTGAGTGTGCGTGTCCAGGCCATTGGCAGTGAGTTTCTCAAGCAGAATGCTGTGGGAAATGGTGTCAAAGGCTTTACTGATGTCCAGGTACACCACATCCCCTCGTTCACTAAGCAGGTAACCTTGTCATAGAAGGAGATCAGATTAGTCAGGCAGGACCTGCCTTTCATAAACCCATGCTGACTGGGCCTGATCACCTGCGTGTGCTGTGTGATAGCACTCAAGATGATCTGCTCCATCACCTTCCCCAGCACCGAGGTCAGACTGACAGGCCTGTAGTTCCCTGGATCTTCCCTCTGGCCCTTCTTGTAAATGGGCATCACATTTGATAACCTCCAGTCAAGTGGGACCTCCCCAGTCAGCCAGGACTGTTGGTACATGATGGAAAGGGGCTTGGCGAGCACTTCCACCAGCTCCCTCAGTATCCTGGGGTGAACCTCATCTGGCCCTGTAGACTTGTGGGTTTCTAAGTGGCTGAGCAGGTCTCTAACCATTACTTCCTGGATTGTGGAAGCTTCGTTCTGCTCCCCATTCCTGGCTTCTGGCTTGGGGGGCTGGATACCCAAATCACATAAGCGGCTCTTTTTTGGCCATGAAGTCACAGTTCAACTTGTTAAATCAGGGGGAAATCTAATCACACCTACTAAAAGCAGCAGTAAATTCAGAGTAAAGCTCCACATTTCAACATTTATTACAAGTTTATAACAGTTAACCTTTACAAGCAATGCAGGACTCCAAACTGTGACAGACCCATTGAAACACATCTCAACTATAACCAGGTAGATCTATTCAAAATGTAAAGACTTGTCATCTACAGATATGCTGACTACGAAGGTTTCCTTGAAAACACTCACACCAGTTTCAACACATTTCCATAAGATTAGGTAACATTATAGTTCCAGAAGAAGTAACTAACATATCTAGAGCTAGGGTGACTTGGCTAAAGCAACTCAGAAAGCCGTGGAAGTACCAAGAAAAGTGCCTGTATCCCCAGAGCACACAAGAGCCAGGAGCCCTAGGAGAGAAAGAGCAGCCAGAACTGAACACACAGCACAGCGACTGCAACTGGGCTTTTCTGATTGCTCCTAACCGGTTGTAACGACAGTGAAACATTTCCCATACGGCACTGAACTGCAGGACATTGCACACCATGAAAAGATTCTGTTTTCTCAGGGCTTATTCAGTAGCTTATTTACTCAGAACAAACCCCTTTTTAAGGTTTGCATGTGAACACCTTCTCTGACCTGAGAAGCTTCTGAAAATAATGCTTCTATGTTTGGAAGACCGCAGATACATTACCTTGATTGCTACTGGATGGATGGTCCCTCCTACCTCAAAGCTTCCCTTCTTAAACATCATCACTGATGTGTTGTTTATGCAGGTACCTGGCCAGAATTAAAACAGATGAAGAGTTTAGTCCACTCTAAGAAATTTATCAGCAAATGAATCCTAAGGATGTCTTAAGGAGACTTAAGTTGCTAAAGGAGGAAGTAAGCTTTAGTTCTGAAATGTAATCCCAGAGCCTGTTCTCTCTTCCATTATGCTATACACTAAAGCAAAGAGACTGTCATAAAACTGTTATAAAATATTAGAATCTGACTGTTAATATCTCACAAGAGATAATTCTATAGACTAAAAACAAACACCTCGCTTGTACAGACTGAGTATAATAAGCTGCACTCAGTGGTAAGAAGTGAGAAGTGCAATAAAATCAATATAGTTGTTTCCTACCTTCTGGGAAAATTAAAATGGGTAATTTGGTCTTATCTGCAATGTGTTCTCTAATTCTGGGGAGAGAAAATAAAATTTCAGTATATACTTAATTTTCATTAAAAAGATTCATATTTGTAATTGGCCAAGAATCTAAACATCCATTACTTCTTATATAGTAAAAGAAAAGCCCTTGCCCAATTGCTCGTCAGTAGTCTCAGCCAGGATGTGTGTTAGTTTCAAGCCTTTATCTCAGAAGTTCTCTTGGTAATTGCAAAAGTAGGTCTTCTACAAAACTGTATACAGTTTTATTTCACCATTATAACCCAATTAACATGAAGCCAGAGAACGGTGGTACTTGAAGCATGTAAATATTGCTCCCCATTTATCTCTGACAGGTTCCAGCTATGAACAGTCAAACTTTTATTTTCACTGAAGTATATTCCATATTTCAAGTTTTCGTGCCTTCTAGATTCATTACATCAGTTTTATATCTACCTAACGATTCTCCACATCTAGTTAAGAGATTGACTACTATTTTATTACATTTGCTGCATCACTTAAAAACAAGTCATAGAATCATAGAATGGTTTGGGATGGAAGGGACCCTCAAAGGTCATCTAGTCCAATCCCCCTGCAGTGAGCAGGGACATCTTTACTAGAGCAGGTTGCTCAGAGTCCCATCCAGCCTGACCTTGAATATTTCCAGGGATGGGGCCTGCACTACCTCTCTGGACAACCTGTTCCAATGATCTACCACCCTCATATTGACTTTTTTTTTCCTAATATCCAACCTAAATCTGCCCTTTTCTAGTGTAAAACCGTTACCCCTCATCCCACTGCTACATGCCCTTGTGAACAGTTCTTCCCCAGCTTTCTTATAGGCACCTTCAGGTACCGAAAGGCCGCTGTAAGATCTCCCCGGAGCCTTCTCTTCTCCAGGCTGAACAGCCCCAACTCTCTCTCCTGTCATAGGAGAGGTGCTCCAGCCCTTGTATCATTTTTGTGGGTCTCTTCTGGACACGCTCCAACAGGTACATGTCCTTCTTGTGTTGAGGGTTCCAAAGCTGGACGCAGTACTCCAGGTGAGGTCTCACCAGAGCAGAGCAGAATCACCTCTCTTGAATTGCTAGACATGCCTCTATTGAAAAAGCCCAGGATGCAGTTGGCCTTCTGGGCTGCAGATGCACATTGGTGGCTCTCATGTCCAGCTTTTCTCCACTACTACCCCCAAGTCCTTTTCCTCAGGGCTGCTTTCCAGCACATCATCTCCCAGCCTGCACCAATAATGAGGATTGTCCCAACCCAGGTGCAGGACCCTGCACTTGGCCTTGTTGAACCTCATGAGGTTTACCTGGGCCCACTTCTCCAGCCTGTCTAGGTCCCTCTGGATGGGATCCCATCCCTCTGGCACGCTGACTGCACCTCCCAGCTTGGTATTGTCAGTGAACTCACTGAGGGTACACTCAATCCCACTGTCAGTATCATTAATGAAGATATAAACAGCACTGGTCCCAGTATGGACTCTTCAGGGACACCACTTGTCACCATCTTCCATGTAGACATTGAGCCATTGACCACTACGCCCTAATGTATTACCACTAAGTAGATTATTGACACACAAAATTTGTTGTTTTCTGACACACCTGTCTTTCCTACAGCTCCTGCATCTTTATTGATGGAACAGTTCCAAACCTTACACTGATGACAACCTACAGCTGCCCACCAAGGAGAGATGCAGTGTGAGAACAGTCTCAACTCACGCTTGGAACTCACAATTACTAGACCTCATAGGACAATTAAGCAAACACCTCACTACCTTACTTTTTCCTCACCAGATGACGGTCTTTCATTTCTGAGCGTTCAAACAAAACATGCTGAGTGGCTTGCATGCAAGATTTTTGAATAAGCCCCAGAAGCCCTCCGTGTGCCTGGCCAACCTGCAAGCCCAAAAGAAACTGGTTACTATGCAAACACACACACACACACACACTTGAATGATAAAATTCTGAAGACAGATGCGTCAGTTTGGAAGCTCATTCGCAAATGACATCCACCCAGTCAAAAGTGTGCGCACGCCTGCCTGTGTCTGTTATTTTGCAGTCCTGAACAGGAGCTTGAGTGCCATCAGATCCCACTTTTTCTACCAGTAAGTTTATCCTCTTACCCAACACTACATCTACAGGCATCTCAACATTACCAGTGTTTACCAACTGTCTTGTTCATACCAAGGAATAGCATCCATCACTCGCCAGGATTAGAACATCTAACGGAGATGTGTGGTTGGCTACACAGATGCCTCCTTTCTGTGGTCTGTTTTCCCTGCAGTGACAACCGTAAAAGTAATTACTTAATGTTTATTCTCCAGACTGCAGGCCCCATCAGGTGACCCCTCCAGTGAGCATACATCTACAACTGGGACTCTCGGTGACAACAGCACTTCAGGCACACAGCTCATCTGCAGATCCACAAGAACACCACCACAAAACATTTTAAGATGCTAATATTACTATGCTATACATTAAAACTTCTGGCAGTACACTACAGCAGCTAAGTCATCTTTCCTCATACTTTCAAGAGTCCCTTCACATTTTAGTAGTTTTGGCATTTTGTCAAAACCAGTTTCCTTTTAGCTGAGAATACAAGACTTCACTGGAGTAGGCATTTTAGTTGCATACGTTACCAGTCAGAGATATATATCAAAGACTACTCGGACACTAAAATTCTAAAAGCAAAGACACTAGAGCATTATTTTGCTTGTTTTCTAAAGCACAAGAAAAAAATATTCCAGAAGACTCCATTACATAAATCTCCACCACTAAGCAAGCAAGTGGATGGAGAGTCCTTGGATCAAATTGCATCATCATCATAGCATCCATGCAGTAATGGAATAAGAATCCTGGTCTGAAACTTAAGACGTTACTGTAAGAAATTCGTGCCAAACCACTGAGAGCAGGGGGGCACCACTCACCTGTTGTGGAAATTAACAGGACCACCCAGACATCGGACACCTAATGTGGCACATATCATCTGAACCTGGTTGCCCAGCCAGCATTTAAGTCTAAAAGAAATGAAGCCACACATACATTTCCAGTTCTGTGCAGTCACTCATAAATCAATGTAATGTAAACTCTGCAAATTATTCCCAGTAACTGTTATTAAAAAGACCATACTAAGAAGAGTCAATTGCACTAATAATGCCATGCAGGAGGAGCTTATTGGGTATCAAAGATATTCTTGATCCATTCTTCTTCTATAATCTATTCTAAACCCACCAGATTCAAAGCAGAGAAGATAGTAGTCAGTGGTTTCTTTTATAGATTTTCTCTGGAAGCAACTACTATTGACTCATTTATTAATTAAATACAAAAATATTTAGCTGGTGAATCACATTTGGCTTTTTTTTTTTTGCACTGACAGGACTTAACTTTCTCACAGTATTAATATGGAATTGCTCAGGACAGATGATTTACTTGCCCTATTCTGACTCAAGTAGAGCATACTTTTTATTCTCCACTCCAAGACATGCTTCCATCAGTATCTGGCTTACACTGCATGTTCACTTCCAGATGCCATTGCCATACTCTCTCTCATAGTGCTCTACGAGTTTACAGGAAAGGAAAAAAAACAATCACCCCACAATAGTCGACATTAATCCCCCAGACTCAAGCAGATTTATATTCCAACACACCAATTAAAACCCTTAAAGAAATAAAAAAGAAATTGAAAGAGCCCTCAACAAACACCTACCTGCCATTTGGAAACTGTCCTATTACCGTAGTAGCCACAACCAGAAAGAGGGTGCTGAAAACCGACAAACTCGCACTACAAAGTAAAATAAACTTAATTAAATGCTGAAAAGCAAAACTGGAAGAGCAAGCAAGAAAATCTTTTCACAAACCCTTTGATCCATTTCACAATGCTTCCCTCCACCATTAATAGCATCTAACTAGCAATACAAACCAGTTAAGGCCAACAGGATTAAATATAAGCATGTTTTGACTCAATTCATCCTGCACTGAGGACAAAACCTTCTGCTGCCTGGAGCCTATATGCCAAAAAGCACCATGCCTTGATCTGAAGCTATCACATGGTAAAGAAGCCATTGTGTTCCAAGAGGATGGCAAGTAGTGGCTAGTGTTTTTTAATGCAGGTGAGATTTCTCAGTGCCAAAAGGGACCCATCATTTCCTTTTTAAGAACCTATCCAGAAATTTCGATATGTATTTCCACCCCAAGCAGTAAGCTACTATATAATCATGAATATTAAATGTCATTGGTTACTAATGGCCAAGAAAAAACAATACTGAAGTCATTTCTACATAAATGTTGTCGTCTTAAGTTGCATATCTAAGTTTTATATGTGCTCTGCTATGTGACTGACTGGTATGAAATCCCTCTATACCCTGCAGCTGTTTTGAATAGACTGTCCTCCCATCAAAGGAACAAGAAATTCTAAAAGCTCCCGCTCTTTACAAGAACACACAAATATTTGTAACTGTTTGGTCAGTATGATAAAAGGCTGGTTTTGCTTACAATAGAAGCTAAAAAGTCTGAAAATGTAATACATTCCAACTGGATGTCCCTTTTTTTTCCATCCAGCCCTGTGCTCCCAGAATATTGGCTCTGCTTCAAATCCCAATTGCTCAGCACACAGTCTCCCCATCTCTTATTCAGACAGGTAGAGCCTGATCTTTCAGTTGAAACAGTTGTTACTTTACATAACAAAGAGATCTCCAGATGATTTCTATAAAGTTTTGCTGGATTTAAAAGACAAATTAATTACTAATAAAGGATATGGAACATGAGAAATGTATACCTTCAGCACCTTTTTTTTTTGGGGGGGAGGGGATATTTGAGTTTTGATGGCATCTTGAAAAACGAAGTCATGCCAGGTTCTCAACTCCACACTACTCAATAGCATATTATTTCACATCTTTTGTAAAAAGTAGCATGAAAAATTGATCCCATCAAATGACATCTGGCTCACCGAAAAGGCATCAGGAGACAATACCGAATTAGGATCCCAATGACCCACACAACGCTCAGTTGCCAGCTGACATGGTGCAAGTTGGCATTGGTTCTGCTGAGGAGATTCCAAGACATCAGCTCCTCGGAGGAGAACCGCTGGGTGACTTCATCTTCTGCAACAGCCTCACACCCCTTCTTGGAGAAGTACATAACATCAGCAAGGCTGAAGTATCCTTGGTGCCGGCCAACAATCTCCTCTTCCATGGAAGTTTCCTCTCTCTGGATGATCCCTGCATGAGAAAATGAGTCTCCCTTCCACACAGTGGAATGGATAATATGGATTCCAAAAGGAGTAAAATACATATACTTTTTAGAAATAGCTCTCCTCCTACTCCAAACACCATAATTGCATTATTGTGCCTCATTTACATACTGGCATTTAGTTCCACAAGTTACTCCTCTAATCCTATGCCTTGTAACACCACTAAATTGCTGAAGAAAGGAGAAAAGTATTCAGACCAAGCTGCAAATAAAACCTAGAGCACAACACCTCCTTCATTGTCATTTACCAAACAAGATTTGTACACACACCAAGAAATGTCAACAGTGTGCTGCCAAGATTGCAGACCCCTCGTGGTGCCTTGCCCACTGGAAGGGAGTGGGGGGAGTGAAGAAGAAAAGTGCAGTAGTTAGT